ATCTGTTTGCTTATGGTCGCGATCCATTCGCGAATCGCGAACGCAGTTATGCGTTCGTAACAAACAGTGCTGGCTACGACTTGGACGACCCAACAATACGGAGACACCCAAACGGAGAAATCTGGCGACCACCACCTGGCGGTCTTGGGTGTCCTGGCTGCGTAGACAACAACTACAAACAATCACCAAGACACAGCAGGGATCCGAAGATGTGTCGATGGTATGATGTTGAACCATACCATTGGGACTGTCCAAGCTGTAAGAAGGAATACCAGAAGAGCAATCCTCACCATGCCAAGATATCTGGCCAATGTAGATTCGCCGAAAAATGGAAACTGCCAGATAACTTTGGTCAGCCGCGCCCAGCGGGGCAAGCCTCTCCTTCGGCGCCAGCCGCGGAAGCGGCTCCAGCCGCAGAAGCGGCGCCAGCCGCAAAAGCGGCGCCGGCCGCGAAAGCGCGCATACGCGCGCCTAGGCCGCCACGGCCCGGTGAGGGCGATCCAACCGCAGGCGCCAGCAGCCATGACATCACCAGAGCCGAAGGGGCTAATGGTGGCAACACTGGCGCTGGCAGCTCTGACGATCACCGTAGACTGCCGCAAGTGGCAGCAAGGCGCGGACGCATGGAAGGATGTGATCCTCCACCGCCGCCGCAGCCTCCTGTAGAGCCGAGGCCAAGGCCAAGGCTTCCTGATTGGACTCGTTTCGATGTTCAGCTCAGCCTTCAAAACCTGCGCAGCTTTGACCCAGCTGTAGTGCAGCGAGAACTCCGCAAGCTTCACTTGAGATGGTTTCATGCCAAGGAACCAAAGATGCGGATGATTCTAGCTAAGGTTGGTTTGGGCGAAACCCGTTTGAGTCTGATTAAGGGCATTTGCGACTCGTGTAGAGAATGTCGTGCCTGGGACAAACCAGGCAACACGGTGATGCCATCTGTGTCACTGCCAGGACATTTCAACGAGGAAGTCGAATGTGATCTTTTCTTTTACAAACAGGAACATATTGTTTTTCACATCATCGACCGTTGTATTCGTTGGGCGGCTGGTACAGAGATCCCCGATAAGACTATGCACACTGTTCTCGATGCCTATCACACAACTTGGATGCAGCATGGCCCTGCCAAAGTCTTATACTCCGACGGGGAAGGAGCACTGAATAACGATACAGCAAAGGCCATCCTTAAGGCTAAGGGAACAGAGCTTCGTATCCGAGCGCGTGGCCAACACGCCACGACTATCGAAGCTAGGAACGGCATCCTGCGACACCTCATACACGTGATGGGAGAAGAATTGAATAGATTGAATATTCCTCTGAATTTCACTCGTCTTTTACATGAAGCCATGTTTGCCAGCAGTGCATTTACCTTCTACAACGGAGTTTCTCCGTATAATGCGTTATATGGCAGACAACCAGCTATGCTTCCCGATTTCCCTGTCTTGGATCATGATCAGTCCGCTGAATCATCAGATCACTCAAGGGAGGAGACAATCAGGAGGGTTCGTCTGGAGGCAATCACGCAGGCCACTGCGGTTGCCAAGACAAACAGGGCTCTTCGTACGAAGACTACTGCTACGGGTGAATTTCACTACAGAGAGGGAGATCTCGTGGACTATCATCGCCCGACCACCACGAAAGATGACTGGGGTGGATGGAGTGGTCCATACCCGGTCATCCGCAACGAACCTGACCGGGGTCAAGTCATCGTGAAGGTCGGCAGTCGCGAAGTGCGAGTACAGTATCTTGACACACGACATACGCTGTACATCGAAGCACTGATGGTCCGCGAGATAGGATCGGACAATACGGCCCTTCGGACAGTACTGGCCTTTATTGCCGGTCTGTCAGCGGGGAAACCCGCCATGACTTTTGGATACTTACCAGCGAAACAGGGCCGGCTGCAGATGACTGCTGCGAGCCGGCTTTCGCCTAAAGTGCACTTGGCTCTTCAGTATCTCATTCGCAACTATTTTCGTATTGAAAACGTTGTTGCCGTACGACTTGCTAAGAGCCTGACTAAGTTGCCTGCTGCACCCTATGCAGACAGCTGTACACTAGTGCACTATGATAACGATGTGACCCCTGGCTTTCATTATTATGAAGCTGATGGCACTGCCTTGAACATCTACGACATCACAGGATCTACACACTCACGCATCATCCAGTGTCTCAAATCCAAGAAGCCGCCTGCTGGATTCGACCGAGACCTCACTAAATTTGAGGAACTCGCTGATGGTCCACCACCAAGCGAGTCACCTCCAGCTGCTGCTCCTGAGCAGCCTCCTGCGGAGAATGATGGTCGGCTCCCGACCATCATAGAGGAAACAGAAGAAGAACTGGATGCCTTTGTCTTGAAGTCGTGGTATGCTTAACTGATGGATGACAGAACACTCCTTGAAGCTGACACAGAAGAAGTCATGCATACAGTTCCGACATACATGACAGACACACAGTGTGTGTTAGTCTCTACGACCTGTGAAGATGTGCAAGGCCACTTGCCGGAGCGGGGTCGGCTCCCGACCATCATAGAGGAAACAGAAGAAGATCTGGATGCTTTTGTCTTAAAGTCGTGGTATGCTGAACTGATGGATGACAGAACACTCTCTGAAGCTGACACAGAAGAAGTCATGCATACAGTTCCGACATACATGACAGACACACAGTGTGTGTTAGTCTCTACGACCTGTGAAGATGCGCAAGGCCACTTGCCGGAGCGGGGTCACCCGCCAGGATACGACATGGACACTTCTTACTACGTTCCTTTGTGCTCCACGGATCCGGACAACAAATATGATCTGGATTCCGACGAGCACGGGAAGTACATCGAGCTCTGCTTCACAGCAGACATGTCCAAAGTCGTCCGGTCCGAGCAGCAACGCCGATTGCTGGATGACAGCAGCGTCACAACTATGCGAGTATATGTTAGTGCTGCCTCCAAACGTGCCGTGGTCGTCAAGGAAGACGATCTACTCACGAAGGCCGACATTCAAGCGAATCCGGTCAAAGTTTCCAAAGCCCTCTACACAGAATTGAAGACTTGGCTTGACAACAAATGCTTCCAGATGACTGACTTGAACAAAGCGTCGAACATCATGACCTCACGCTATGTATACAAATGGAAGTTTGTCAAGAACGAGAAGGGCGAAATGGAACGGACGATCAGGTTACGCTTGGTACTCCGTGGCTTCATGGACATTGAAGCCTTCGATGTCGAAACCTTCTCTGGCACAGCAAGGAGGTCAAACCAGAGACTGCTCGCAAGTTCTGCTGCATGCAGCAAAGCTTGGATCATCGCTTCCCTGGACATCAACATGGCTTTCTTAAAAGGACTGACCTATAGTGAGCTCGCCGCGGCAACGGGCGAGAAAGAGCGTGCGGCGTGCTTCACACTACCTCCTGGGTCAGCAGCTGTCCTTCGTACATTGCCAGGCTTTGAGTCATATGACGAATCAAAGCACTGTCTTCGGTGTCTGAAGCCGGGGACTGGCACGAAGGATGCTCCCAGGGCATCGTCGTTGAAGCTCAGGTCCATCACTAGGAACTTTGGACTACAGCCTACTTCATACGACGAAGAGTTCGAGATGAGCCCAAACCTCTTGACAGCCAAACACGTTGATGACATTAATATGACTGGGAAGGAAGATGCTATTGACAAGTATGTCAAGTGTGTTGAAGATACGTTTGGAAAGTGTAAACTGAACAAGCACACATACACAAACTGTGCCGTTCGGTACAACAAGACCGATGATGGGAGCGTCACTCTCGATCAGGACGAATACATCAAACAGCTTCGTCCTATCACACATCCAGAACTCACAGGCGCTGATCCTGAGGGCAAAGCGACAAAGACGATTTCTGATATGTTCGTCAGTCTTCGCGGCGCTCTAGCCTATGCGCTGATTACGCAGGTATGGCTGATGGTCTATGTTGTCTCACTACAACGTATCCAGGAACCGACAAACATCCAGGTACGACGACTAAACGCGGTTACCAGGAAATTGCAGGCAGGTCCGAAGAAAATCGCGTATCAAGCTATGACTCCAACAGGAGAAGTCGACCTGCATAGCGACTCTGGCTATCGTCGTCTCAACGGGGATGAAGACGACGAAGTCAAAGGCTATGGTATCCGCGGGGCTAACCTGCTGAGGCGTGGCCACACGCAAGCGGGGAAACCCGTCGTGCACCTGGTGGACGCATACTGCAAGTCTCATCGACTGCAGGTGCGTTCGAGCTACTCTGCGGAAACACTGGCAGCAGCCCACAACTTGGAAGACTGCTACCCGACCATTGTAACGCTCCACGAGCTACACTCGGGACCATTGACCCCCACACAGTTAAAGAACATATTGGAAATGGGTGGTCTATGTATCAAAGTCACTCTGACTATTGATGCCGAGTCTGTCTTCAAGTCTTTGTCTAGCAAAGATCTGAAGAAGCCCACAGAATGTACTCTGCTTGGGCACATCAGCTGGATCCGCCAGATGATGGAGCGCGGAATCGTTGAAAGCGTCCAATGGTGTGACACGCGGGATATGACTGCCGATGGTCATACCAAAGGTAGTATTGACCGCGCGTTGCTCCTACAAGTAATGGCCGGCCAGCAATCCTTCAAGCACGAGCTGAAGAAACATACGCCGTATAGGGCGGGCAGGTCGTCTCAAGACGGCCCTGCCTCCCGAGCTAGCGGGGAAACCCGCATGCAGGTGCGCTTTAGTAGCGAGGAAACTCGCCGGTAGCGAGGCTACTCGCGCGCCCTTACCTTGTAGGCAGCCGCTGTTGCCTAGTACTTGTTTTTGCCGCGTAATGTAGTAATGCGGTGCTCGCTCGTCTCCTCCCCCTCCGACTTTAAACGGAGAAGGTTAAAGGCGAGATGTATATCGAGCATGCACCGCTGCCGTGCCTGGCTCAAACCGGGCCCGGCCTAATATGTGATTGTGCCTCACCGAGGCGCACGATTCGCATCTGAGATCGGAAAATACCTTTTCCATTGACGATGCCCATCC